AAACACATTGTTTCTCTTGATGAGATGTTAGATGTTATCAAATTACTGTTCTCTACATGTACTGTATGGGCATATTAAAGGCACAGTGCATGTATTTAAATATTAATTTAAATAGGTATGTAAAATTGTTTTACAACAATTTTTTTTAAACAAATTCTGTAAATTACTTGCACTCACTTATATTCTGCAATCTGCCTGACATAGCAATAGGGCCTCTTCAATTGTATTGATCAGGACTCAGAGGTGGGGGGGGGGGAGAAGATTTATTTTTCTTTGTGTTGGACTTTGCGATCGAACAACTGTTTATTTCCCTTGCAAGCATGTGTGTCTTCATGTTGACAGACTTGTTCAGTAATTGTTCAGGGTTCATGAACACTCATACACTGTATATCATAATAAGTAATGATACAGTTGTTTCTTCTGGGTCATTTGCAAGTAAAGGGACAGCGAGATCAACTCTGTAATTGCCACACAAAGACAGAATTTTTGGATACGCGATGAGTGACAGAGTACAAATATACATGTACTACAATATTAGAGTTAGTCATACTTGGTGTAGGGCTTCACACTATTATTTTTGTGAGGGAACTTATTTTTTACAGTCTGAATGCATGAGCCCAACTAGTGAAAAATAAAATAAATTGGGGTCCAGGGGTCCTGACTTAGATTTTGGGCACCCATGTCTCCCGGTTGCTTTTTATAGTGTTGATCATTGATGTACTGAACATGTACTGTGAGTGTGAAAAACAGAGAACATGATTGATGCAGAAAGCATTCAGAAGGAAGCGGTTGACATGAAGATGGCTCATACAGTATTAAAGGCCTGTCTTCATCAGCTTGAGTTTGCCAAATATAACCCGCTCATTTAGCTATCCCGATCGCAAATTGGCCAGCTAATTTGTGTCTTCATCAGCCCGCAGTTGCAATTAGCGGGATATTTGGTCAAGATAGTATCCCGAGAAATCTTGGTCTTGTTCCCAAAATATCCTGCTACAGGTGTATTTGGGAAATAGTGGGCTAATTTGTGCCTGTCCGAGCTAGTTTTCGATGAGCGGTCTGGTGAAGACGTACGTAATATTGAGTTTCGGGATAATATCCAGAGTCTGAAAATAGCGAGTTATTTGGCAAACTCAAGCTCATGAGAACTTCCTTTCAAGAGTTTGTGATAGAAAATGAAACTTTTTCTGTCCTTCCTGATGGAAACATGTATGCACATATGTATATCGTCCTTGTTTTCACGAAGTGACGGTAGTGAGGAAAATCGTCACGCAAAATGAATGCAATTTTTTTCACTTAGTGAAAACAGAGACGATATGTACATTTCCTGTTAGCTTTACATGTACATGTGAAATATTAACATACAGAGGTCAATGTACTTCATAAGTAACCTCTTTTGTCCACTGAAAGGATTGCTTTAATAATAAAAGGGGATCAACAAACCAATAAGGTATTGAAAATCAAAAGGGAAATATTTGAAAGATCATAGAAAATGATGTTCATTTATAAATAGTTCAAAACGTATATACTGTACTTGAAAGATAAACAACACTTGTACTTTAAAAAGTATCTGGCATGCTGTACATGTAAACGTAAAACTTTTGGTTTACAAAATGTAAGCTACATGTAGGTTTTACCCTTATGAACAGTAATGTGTAGTGCCATAATATAATTACTGTACGTAATGATTTACATTTTTGTGTACATCCATAAACTTGTTGCCATGTTGTTGACTTCTTGGAGCAGGTACATAACAACATGTAAATTGTCTGTTCAGGTCTTAAAGTTTATTAGCGTAATTTCCCCTTTTGTTCCCCCTGGAGGTGTGTGTTATAATGAGTTCCAATTAATAGATTCCTGTCCTACGGGCATTGTGTGTACTGATACGAGCCAAGCACCGGACTTCTAGCTGGCACTCTCTCAACTGTAACTGTAACACGAAGAAATTTCAACCTGCTGCAAGATGTCCATACAGTACTACATTATGTAAAATGCAGGACCCTGTGTGCATGTTACAATTGTGGATGATTACATCATGTTTTTTTTAATAGTGTGGGAGTGCCTTTTTACTATTTGTTCCCATTCAAAGCATATATTGTATTAAAGATCTGCCTTTGTGATTACATGTACATGTACATTGTGTCATTCTATGGCTCTGTGTGAAAGACTGAAAGTACATGTACTTTCCAGCACTTTCCATCTCAAATTAAATTTCTAATAATGGTTATTGTCTCTAAAATCACAGATTGCATACTACACATGTTTATACATATTAATTTGAAGCCTCTAATCTGTTTTGGTATGGATGAGGAACAGGTACTGCCAGGGAGTACCCCTATGCCCCTTTACATTGTAAATTCACCCTGACCAAGTCTTTCTTATTTTGCATAGTCCATGAGATACATTTACAGTGGGGTCAGAGTTGTAACCCCTACTTCCTTTTAAAGATGTACATACATGTATGGATGTACATGTACTATTTGTACATGTTCATGGTCTGCATACATGGGCTGTAGTCCAACTTATACACGTAAATTGTCAATGTCAATCTCCTGATTCTGTACAAACCAACATTATTGTCATTCTGGAAATTTGTTAAAATACGACCCCCCCCCCCAAAAAAAAAACAACAACAAACAAACAAACAAACAAACAAACAAACAAACAAACACACACACAACAACAACAACAACACAACATAACAACAACAATAACACAAAAACAACAACAAACAAACAAACATTAACAACAACTACAAACAAACAAATTTGTTATTCATGTAAATTCCTTTCTGATATTCAATGTTATGTCCAAAGTAATTTTGTTTATTTAAAAAAATGTATTTTGTTGCCATATTGCTATTAAAATTCTTTTAGGCTAAGGGTATACATATGACTATATGGCTATTAATGATTCATTCATGCACTTCGCCCTCTGAAATTAAAGTGAGTTTACTTCCTATACATGAAAATATTTACCAAGTTCATCTAGACCACTAAAGAATATGAACCAAAGTACACTGTAGGTTACCTCAACAATGACCTCTTAAAAGGCCTGTTTTCATCAGCTCGAGATTTTCACATAACCCCCTATTTCTGATTTGGGAAATAATCCTGAAGTTACAAATCGCGTCTTCATCAGCTTGAGACTTGACCTCAAAACTTGAAACTCGAGCTCGAGAGATTTTGCTCAGCGTTCGCGCATACATGTACAGTAGTACGAGTTTTCGGGCTGGTTAATATGCATCGGAAAATAGCGGGATATTTTGCAAACTAGCCCAAGATAGCTTGGGATGGTTATCTCGACCAAATATCCCACTAATTGCAACTTCAGGCTGGACTGGATAATTTATAGCGATCGGGATAGTTCAAATAGTGGGATATTTGGCAATATCGAGCTGATGAAGACAGGCCTAAAGTGTATGCCCTGGGTTGACCAGTCAGTTGGGTCAAGTTCACGGTTTGCCCTGTATCACAGTTAACCTCTAAATCTATGATGATTTATTACATGCTATTTATATCAGGAAGTGTAGGAATCTAACTAATGCCTGATTGTTTCCTTTTTTATTAAAGTACATGTACATGTTGTACAGTGGGTTATTGATTGACTTGATGCAAGCCAGGCCATTCAAATTTGTGTAAATATATTGCTTCATAATTGTCTTGTTGGCATTCAGACATTACAAACTGTGTGTGCTGAGAACCAAAAAGGGCATGAAATCTATTAATCTATGTACATGTACATGTAAATATCATGTTAACATTGATAACACCCTTCTAAAGCCCTAAGTAGATGTTTTGTTATTTTCATCACAAAGTACTGAAAGCTTGGCCGAGGCTTGCCCAACATAGCATCACATAATTTACTTGTGTGCAGACTGGATCCCAAGTATTTTAGTTCATTCATTTATATCAAACAAATAATGGAATAACTTGCCACTTGGTCAAAATCAAAATCAAAATGATAAGAAATTTGGCCCAGTCTTGGTAAAGTTACAAGCACTGTAGTGACTGTACACAAAAAGATGTATATGGGACTACGCGATATCTATCCAGTCCGATCTATCTAGTCCGGATAGATATAATCATTTTATTTACCAAATATATCAATAAGTAGGCGGTTTCCCGGCAAAATTTGTATCATCCCGTATTAGTCAAAACATATTCTTTCACATGATTGGTAATATTAGAGCTTCCATTTCATATTTTAAGAGTGGCGCATTTCCAAAACTGGTCTATACCTTTAAAACACAGAGTGAACTTCCAGTTTCAAGTACTTGACTTAATCACTTTCGTTTGTTAACACTTCATGTAAAAGGAAACGATCAGAGTACTAGTAGCAATCGATTACTTCCTGATATCATCAAAATGAAATTAAACATTGGCATCATCCCACTTAAAAAGCACTTCATTGACTAATCACTGACTGCCAATCAATAAAAGTGTGACTTTAGAATCATTAGAAGCAGATGTACAATGTACATGTATGCGAATCAGAATGTAGAACATACATGTAGTTTCAATATCATCTGTATAGAGCCAGAAGGTTGTTGGCTCTGTATTATTAAAAGTTTATGAGAAAGAAAATGAACAATTTAGCTGTACATGTATTATGACAATGTTCTATGTTAATGTTTTTTGTGTGTAAAGGATTAAAAATGTATCCCCCATATATTGTAGCTCAATATGTTGCAACTTTTTGGTTTTTACGCTAACTGGCATACAATATATGCATTTTATTCTAGTACATGTATTGCTTGTAAGTTCTGAAAATATCTTTCTTCATTCTCTTACAATTTACTTGTTCTTCGTTGACATACTGTACATGTACAGGAGTTTGGAGATGATTTATTTCTCCACGACAGGTAGAAGGAGAGATTGTAAATCATATCCTTTCTTTCAAATGATTACCAGATGACATTATTTATAAATCTAGTATTGCAATCAAACTGATTTAATATATACTTGAATGTATTTGCCAATTTCTCTCGCTACTATACATAGGTGGTTCTTTGGCAGTATAAAGCGTATGGATGCTGAGAAAAAGCTGCTTCTATCTCAAAACGAGCATGGATCATTCCTTATACGAGAAAGCGAAAGCCGAGTCGGGGATTACTCCCTCTCAGGTAAACATATGCATGACAAAAACGATGAATGTTTCATTTCCATGTTTAACTTTGCATTTCAATGTCTTGTTCTCCTTTGTCTCCTCACTCATCCTCCCCCTCACCGTATGTTTTGTGTGAACGCACCGACCGTCAGGTGGTATTTTGGGAGGTGCAAGCGATCAGAGGCGGAGAAGTTCCTGGACAAAGATGGAAACGATCACGGCTCGTTCCTATTGAGAAAGAGCGAGAGTAGTGTTAATGATCACTCTTTATCAGGTAACCCAATAAAGTAAAACCAAAACAATCCTTGCCAAATTGAAGCAAAGCTATAGCATCATGGCTGCTGTACTCAATCAAGGAAATCTTGAGCTGCCTCTGTTTTCTGGATGCAGGGTTTCTGACTCTTCGCGGATTGCAATGATATCTGATTCTCGCTGAAACACTTTGCATATAATTCATGGTTGACATTATTGCTGGATTTATAGCGGAGCTTGACGGCTTTATATAATCACCCTTATGATGTACACTGTACATGTACATGTAGCTTGCATATTATGAGATTCATGTCTGGCGTTGTATAGACGCATTTATCATAGATTCACTGTAAACAAAATTAACAAAATCTGTAAATCACCACCATCTATATATTGAAGACACTTTCATGGGAAATAAGGAATATTTAATCAAATAGAACATCTACAGGGAATAATTTTCCTGGTATCGCATCGCAATTTGCTATGCATTTTTGCATGACTGCTATACAAAATATCTTTTGTGTAGCAGTTTTCTTTCATAGAAATGTACAGAATTTCATTTGAAATATTTATCCATCGGCTGAAATTGCTAATCAAAAAAATTGAGGAAAATTATTCCCTGCATCTATCACTGGGATGATACATATATGTATTTTCAAGGCTTTATGGTTTGCGTCTCCCTTTTTTCCATTTTATTTCTCATCCATCATGTTTTGTTTTTTAATGACGTCAGCTTTAAACCATTTCATCAGCCTAATCATGTATCTTCATAATGAATTACATTTCAGTCATTATACACCGTAATTACACTAAATTACACTTCTTTGCGTTTTTGTTTTACAAAAATACTTTCTGCTCACCAGAGCATTCTGTTATTTTGTTTTAATATTGAAAAAGTGAGGTATACAGCTATTTCTTCTTTCTTTGACTCCTTCCCCCCTAAAGCTCTACTTTGATTTTCCAAAGCTTTTTTTGAGCTTTCCAAATTTTAACCACTCTCCAAATATATTTGTAACTATTTGTAACTGCATTGTATGTTCATATATTCTGCATATTTATAAAATAATACACAGTATCACATTACATCTTGAAAATATATGTATCTGTGTGTTTGATTGTCTATGTTTTTACTGTTATACTTGTAACCTATTTAATAGAAATCCATGTACATGACTCTTGAAATTCCTTTTTTGTTGAAAAAAACAGTTCAGAGCTGTACATAAACTCTTTAATATGACAAAGAAAAATAGTTGCATAAAAGCAGCAATTTGAATAAACAAATATCTCTTTCAGTGAACTTTGTGGGTTCTTTTTAATTGTTTGATTGTCATTCACGGAGGTTCATTCAATTGAGACCACTGTGTAGGAGTGAGGTTTTAATTATTTTAAAATTGTTTAAATTTTTATTGCTGTGTTTGTGTTGTTTTGTTTTGGCAACCTAAATAACTGAATGAAATTGTTGTGGCAATTGTCCCAAGGAAATGCGTGGATGTAGTGTTTGATTTATTATGGTTGAGAGTAAACCAACATCCTTTTAAATCAGTACACGTATTCAGTATAAACCAAAGGTAGAAATCATATTTCATTATTTTGAGAAAATATGCTTGTTTGTTAATTATAAACTCACACTTCATTTGGAAATAAAGTGATGAATCCCAAAATTTGCTAGTAAAGAACCTTCAGCTCAAATGGAATTTTTCATAATCAACAATATTCACTTTAATGAAACCAGGTATGTCTACAATCTTTAAAGTGAAATTGTTTGTCATACCCCTTTGTTACTCTCAAGTGCAATTTTTCAGCATGCATTCTTGCATTCCCTTTTCATGAATTCATGTAAATTATACATTTGTTTAATGTTTGCTTCTTTCATGCGTTCCTTGTTCTTTGTTAGCTTGTTTTAACGTGGTAATGTATTTTCATGTCACCATAGCATAAATATGACACACCATTTGCATTCTATACGTACCTCCGTATTTATGTAATGTACAAATGTATAACTATATGCTCTATTTCCCTTGTGAATTGGATTTAATGATAATTTCATTTGCTGGCCTATGCTTTCAAGAATCATTTGTAGGCGAATTGTCCATGTACATGGTATTCCCTTCACTAAAATATAATAGGATTATTGTCTTCTAAATTGTTAAATGCATTAATACTTTGTCGAAAGGCTCTATGAGTTTAATCCGTACTTTTGTTATAAATAGACAGTAATAATATGAACAACCTTTCTTTCTTTTCAAGCCAAATTGATATACAGCCGGTGTATGATTTTAATATGCAAGCTCCTTTAAAGATACTATGTCCCTTTTGCAGCCAACCTAAAATGCTGTAGAACTTTGCAGGAATTATGAATATGTCATGTTTGTCCTATCTGTGAAATTTAAACGTTAGCAGTGTCCTCATATTCAATTTATGCAAGGAAACCCGTTTACTTGCTAGACTTCACTGTCAGACACTATTGAGTGACTGGCTGGCTTTTTTTCTTCTTTGGTAATAACATACATGAAAAGAGTTGTAAAGGGTACATGAGCATTTGTCTACATCAATAACCCACTTCTTGTGATGGCCAAGATTAAACTGATTGAATCTTTGCGCAGCATAAAACGTATGACCATTCGGTACAATGATCTGAAAATCAAGACTATTACTTTTGGGCTCTATAGCCCTAAAGTCGATTTGACAACTAATAGTCATTATTTTCCCACTTTAAAGACATTTTCAAGCCCCATCTTTTTTAGGGAAGTTCTATATTAGTATTCTTTCAAATGCAGTTGGAATTAAACTTTTTCATTTTTTTGGCCTGCAAATGGGACATAGTACCTTTAAATACTTGCCCTATTTCAACATCTTAAATAAGTAACTACAGCAGCAAAAATGTACTAAACAATTTTTTTCTCACTTACAAGCTCAAATTATTACAGTTATTGTAGTCCTTTTAATATAGTTGTTATTTTACAATTGCTGCAATCGCTTAAATTTCAGTTGGATAATCTTGATTCATATTCATACCAAATATCTTTAAAGGGAAAGTCCACCCCCAAAATAAGTTTGTTTCGATAGAGGCAGAATAATAAGAAAATCAGGTGAGTGAAAGTTTGAGCAAATTCTGAATGAAAATAAGAAAGTTATGAATTATTGAAGTTGTGATCAATCAAATGCAAATTGGCAACTCTGTGACTTATTATACGAGCTCTCCTTCATTTGCTTTGTGCATAATATTCCATAAAATCATGTTTTCTTCGTTATTGATGACGGAATATATATTTGTTCCTTGCAGGGGGAGTATAGAAACATATTTGCAATTATTATATTTAGGGTGCATGTATGGTTGAAATTTTTCTTGAGGGAAAATGAAAATTTTAGATTTTTTTAGTACTGAGCAAATGGAAGTTGAGCTCGCATGATACGTCATAGAGTTGCCAATTTGTGTTTGATTGATCACAACTTCAAAAATCCTAACTTCCTTATTTTTAATCCGAATTTGCTCAAACTTTCACTGACTTGTTTCTCTCATTTTTCTACTCCTATTAAAACTAACTTAATTTCAGGGTGGACTTTCCCTTTAATAGTTACTTTTGAACACTGCAATTTCTATCTACAGGGAACGATCCTCTATGTCTATGTACATTGTGATAGAAGTCACAGCCTAGTCACATTGTATATATATATATATATATACACTTCTTTGTGAAAGAGAGTTTGTCACAGCCTCCTAGGCTAGGATAGAGAATGAATGGTGGGAAATCTTGTTGAGTGTTACTGTTAAACTGATTTGCATTGAGGTTGTTAGTCTGGTAAAGCGTTCACCGGGATGCACGTTGACCTGTGTCACTTAGCTCCAGTCAGAAACAGGTATAGACACTGTGACAGAGAAAAGACATGGAGGGTATACATGTATGAGCTGGTACATGTACAGTATGTGAGCCTGATGTATGCGTCAAACGATACACTGTACAGAGAAAGAGAGAGAGAGAGAGAGAAAGAGAGAGAGGGAGAAGGAGAGAGAGAGAGAGAGAAAGAAAATGAGAGAGAAAAGGAGAGAGGGGGAGGGGGGGGGGGGAGAGGGAGAGAAGGAGAGAGGCGATCTACAAAGGAAATTATAATGGCAACTAGAGACATATGAGAGAGAGCAGGAGAGGGATGCTGAGGGAGAAAGTTTAAAATGAAAGACAGATACAGACAGATCTACGCATGTACATGTAGCTACACGAACAAAGAACAAAGACTAGAGACTAAAGAGGCGGAGAGAGAGAGAGAGGGAGAGGGACATACAAAACTACAAACAAATTAGGGAAGAAAGATTTAAATAATATACAGACAGACAGAATGATATCAACAAAAGACATGTTAAAGAGCATTTTTTATGACATACATAACTGTTCATATAAAGTGTAATACACATCGCAGGACCCTGTTGAGCATACTTGCCATTCATTTACATGTTAAGAAAACAACACATGTTTTTTCCGGCATATGTCTGAAGAAGCTTTTAATGCTTACAACTAAATACAACAATACATCTGTAAATGTAAAAGCAAGTGAGGGCCAGCAGTGCACAGAAGCAATAGTATAAGTGATAAACATTTATTTAGCAGTCTCTAGAATGTTACAAGCATGTGAGCTAGAGAAGGTTAAAATTATAGGACATATCGTCTGTTTAGAGCCAGAAGGCGGTGTGCCTCATATACTTCAATGCAGAGATAATAACTACCTTCTGGTTCTGAAGTGACGATATCATAACATACTTTTAAAAGCAGGTACGTGACATTTCCCATCTCGCCCACAATAACAAGGTAGATCAACCCACTCCTCAAATACCATTTATTTATTTTTTCCTCGTCCCAATATTAGATTTCATTTAATTTGTGATTGCAGTCCATAGCAAGGCCTTCTGCAAAAATATCTGTAAAAACATCGAGGCATGCACCTAATATTTGCTCTTTAATTATTTGTACAAGAAATATGTCTTTAATATAGCCCGTTCAGACCAGATGAAATTTGTATGAAACACGTATAAAGAAACGTGTATCGTTGAATACAAAACGGGCATATGCAATGGATTAACAACAGCTTATGTAAAGAAACATTATATGAAGGAAATAGTTTTAAGCATTTAGTTGTCATGACAGCGAGCCGATCATTAGTGCCCACTCACCACAAGCCCCCCCCCCCCCCAGTTCTATTTTTTGTATACGATACAATGTTTAGAGGAGAAGGGGACCCTAATTCTCCATCAAGTTTTTGTTTGAAATAATGCTTAAACATGCATTTTGGTTTTGCTATATGTTGTTTCATTGTAAATCATTCATTCAGACCAGAAACAATGAATTACTTATTACATGAATACAGTGTTCGTTTAGCCAAACAATGAACTTGGGTAGTCTGAATTGGGGGGGGGGGGGATGTGCTCTTTGGTAGCTAGATCTCCTCTTTTAGAACAAACATCATGACTGTGTTAACATTTGATGAAAGCTGATTGGAGCAAATGTTTGAATCGTCAGTGGGTGTTCCCAATATACAGTTATGTACGTACAGTCCATGGATTAGCATTGTGTGAATGAATACCCATAGGGTACCACCAGAATTACCAACAAATATTCACAAAGTAAGCCGTCAATCATGGTTTATTTTACCATCAATCATCTTGGTACTAAGACTTTTCTAAAGTATCAGACTTTACATTTCCCTCTATATAGAAAACAATGCCTAAGCGTTGCCCGTTGGTTCTCCATGATCCTCTTTTTCTTATGTTAATTCAGGGCTGAGTTGATGAGAAAGCCACCTGTAAGTGACCAAGCTTGGTGGTCTACTCCCTTCTGGCCCAACTAGTGCAGACAGGCTTTAAAAAGGGATTAATTTTCAGGATATAACTTAGTAGATTCAACTTTGGAATTTTGAAATTGAAGACCACCTATGAATCTGAAAGGTTAACAAAAAATTGAGATCATTTTCGGGATGGTCACAGCTACTGCAGACAGGTCAGAAAGAGGGATAAAGATACATTGGGATTATTTTTGTCAGCATTGGCGTAGCCTCTGTCTCTGTGCATGTGGGGGGGGGGGGGCCTTGTTCTCTTGCATCTCTTTCTCCGCCCCTGACCGGTCCCGGCCAACCCCCCTTTCAGGACACCAGGGGGGGGGGGGGGGGGCGTTTCACAAAGCCTTTTTTCAATGACAAATAACAAAAATCAGTGACAAATCTGCTGATAACCAATCAGAAGCAAGGATTTCAATAGCTTATAACACAAACTGTCATTTGTCACTGATGGCAAGTTTTGTGAAACTCCCCCTTGTTCCCCCTCAAGGGAACAACAATGCAATTTGAAGGTACCCGTTTAGGAGGAAAGATGATATTTTTCTCATTTCAGATTCAATTTTAGAATTTGGATAATTAAGATTAAGACTGCAAGTGTGAATATGGCACATGTATAGAACACATCCAAGATGGTATCCATTACAGTGTAAATGGTCATTTATCGGTATGAACACAGCTCCTGCGCAGAGATGAGAGGAGATAGATGAGAGAGCTGGGATAGTGATTAAAGAGAGAGAGAAGCAGATGAGCCAGTGATGATAGGTGAAGAAGGCACATTTATATCATGCTAGTCTTAGACTGCATTCGAGTCCATACCTTCAGTATAATTCATACATTTGATTTTGAGGATACTCAAATAGACGTTTTCTTGTGGGCTGAGAAGCATGTTTATTAACTACATATAGAGGTCAATATTATGAAGCAGTAAACTATGAAAATATTGAAATGTAAATTAATTTCCAAGTTTTCTATTGAAAAAGGAACAGTTTACACAAACCATGTATTTTCTAGAACCACTATCACATGTATCCATTCGTATTTTCCTTCATTCTTATATATCATTTTCATTCACAAATTTGCTACTAGTCATAGTAATTCCTGATTTATTCTCTGGAGCTTTTCTTACTTTTCACAATAATAATAATAACAACAGTGCTTATAAAGCGCTTACATGTAACTTCAAATTAGGGAGAAATTATCTATCATAAATTTCTAATAATTAATCATACATGTGACATGTGTACATCAGAATTTGCTGGTAGAAATATTTTTGTTTTTGAGACATAATTACTATGTTAAAGCCCTTGTTATTCAGTCGAGTTAAATAAGTGCAATTTTATCATCATTCAAATTTCTGATAAATCAATGATCTGTAAATAGCTTCGGAACGCATGACCCAAAAATATCCACAGATCTTTACACGATGGATTCGTCCAACTTCTGCATTTTAGAATAATCACTGCCAAAGTGATGGAGGTGCTTCATGAATTCCATTGTTTGACTTTTGAGAAGAATACTTCCACCTGTGTATGAGATAAATGTACTGTCGATGCATATTAAATGAAAACTCCATAACTTTGAGCACGCTACCAGTGTTCTTCTCAATGGTTTTACAATTTGGGAGCTAATGACCTTTATCTGCCCATGCGCAGATTGGCCCGAATTCACAAAGCAAGGTTTGAGCTCAGACCAAGGTTTGAGCTCAAACCTCCTTTTGTTTCGCCAAACCTCCTTTTGTTATTTACAAACCTGGTTTGTAAATAACAAAAGGAGGTTTGAGCTCAAACCTTGCTTTGTGAATTCGGGCCATAGTTTTTACAATATTATCAAAGAAATTTTGCCATATCGCCTGAGAATCTTAGACTAGGGTATGATGATATGGAGAGCCACATGGAGCTTGTTGATTGAGAGAAACTTAATATGAAGATAGCTTCCAGACACGGACAGGATGGGTTTTCTCAGCTTACCCAGAATTTCATTTCTTCATATCGATGAGGATGCATGCATGTAGGAAGATGAAAGAAAAAGCTGCAAGTAATTGAGCTTGCTTCCGACATCCACTGGGCTAGTAGAAAATTGGAGGGTAGGGGGTTGATAGGGTTAGAGCATTGCTCATTTTTAGAAATAGATTCAAAATTGAATTGGTATGGAAAGTTTGTTACAAAGATATTATATTTTTGGTTGTTTTATGTCAGACTTGGCTATAGCAAAGAAAATATCAAATTCATTTGAATGCATTCTTTGTGGTAAATGTCAGTTTCTTCATTAGGCTGGAAGAGAGAGAGAGAGAGAGAGAGAGAGAGAGAGAGATCAAATGATCTTTGGCCCTTTTGGAGAAGGTTTCATTTCAATATTTCATTCTCCTCCTTCTTCAGTCATACCTGTGATCCCTTCTCTCTTCGCAAAACAATCAATACCATAAATAAGAAGAAAGAGTAATGACATCAGAAAAGAAATTATCATTATCCACATTTGTCTCACTGTCCCATATATTGTTTTTCCTGTCTTGTTTAGTGCGTGATGGAGACACAATCAAACACTACCGTATCAGACAGCTGGATGAGGGTGGATACTTCATCGCAAGGAGATGTACGTTCGCTACCTTGGTGGAGCTGGTCCAGCATTATCAGAGGGACGCTGACGGTCTGTGTGTTAACCTCAGGAGACCGTGTGTGTTGGTTAGTAGTCTTTAATTCTTTGAATGTCTATAGGCCTATCTTCATCAGCTCGAGATTGCAAAATAACCCCCTATTTTAACTATCCCGATCGCAAGTTATCCAGCTAATTTGCGTTTTCCTCAGCCCGTAGTTGCAATTAGCGGGATATTTTTGGTCGAGATAATCATCCCAAGATATCTTGGGCTAGTTTGCAAAATATCCCACTACATGTATTTGTCTGGTGCGTCCTCAGCAGCACTTGCACTATGCGCGAACACTGAGCAAAATATCATGAGCTAATTTCTCGAGCTCGAGTTTCGAGGTCAAGTCTCGAGCTGATGAAGATGCGATTGTAACTTCGGATTATTTCTCAAATCAGAAATAGCGGGTCTCATTGTAGTCGGTGTATAACCGTGATCTAGCACTCCTTCCACTCCATTATTTACACTACAATTCACAAAAATATCAACCGATCTTGCCCATGTACTGTATCTTTTAAAACAAGGACACAGTGTAAAACTTTATTAAAAATGTTTCATACCAATTTTCTTTTCAGCTACTAAAACTCTTTTTGAGCTTAACTAATACAGGGCTTGACTGCCTCGACACAGACAACCGTATATGCTACATACATGTATGGGCCCCCAAAATTGTGGAAATTAAATAGAGGCCCTTTGCCTGCACAGATTTCTGTTTTATCAGCAACTATGTAGATCATGTATCAGCTGCAGATGAAATTTTATTTTAAAATACATGTCCAATGAATTAGGACATGAGACTTGTCCGCATTAACCCCAAATATTAATTCATTCCACTTTGCACTAAGCCCCCACGTCATTGATAATCCACACTGTATTACAGAGACATGCAACTCTAAATCCATTTCAACCCGCAGTTCTTTACTACCTGTACAATGCCAGGATCTACAAAGCCCTATATGGTTAGCATAAATCTACATTGCTTAAAAGTTCACCACAATGTAATCTGATCAAAACCACAGCTTATATGTATCATATGCACCATACTCGAGGCCTACATGTACATTTGCTAATAAACCAGTAAATTTATGAGCAAGTCCGTCTTTCATTACAACCTACATATTCATGAACTGTCAATATTCAGAACCAGTGTAGAGTTGACAAACAAGCAAACAATAACAAACATGGAAAATACAATTTGAAGCCCTTTAATAAGCCTGCTCCAAATCACAAGTGGATATTAATTTTAAAAGAAAATACTAATGAAATATAATTAGTTTAGTATTATTTGCTTCACTTCAAACACGAGGTAGGATACAAGAGAGCTCCATCCTATTCATTTTCATCGAGTAATCTCTTTTCTTTTTTCTTTTCACTGTGATGTCATTGGTCTGTGAAATACATGGTCTTTCAATGATACCTTTGATTTTACATGTCTTAAAAAGGAAATATGAGTATTAATTTATTCATTTTTGTCATTAGAAACAGTACAATCTATTCTAAGATATAGGCCTTTATAATAGGGTGTGAAATATAAATCATATTGAATAGGCTCCATGTACACCGACTTATCCAACTACCCTAGGACATGATGATAAATTTCAACAACAGATGTTATAAATGTTCAATGCAAGGGACTTTTTTAGCAGAATAAACGCATTTCCTACCCAAACTGTCCTCACTTAAGCAAACAGTTGTTTACAGATTTGGTATCATTTAAAAGGAACTTCTCCAATATACAACTGAGCATGCATGAAATAAACATAAGCTAGAGGTGTGATGTACTGTAAAGGACCGATAGAGGTGTTTGTTGTACATGTCAGACTTGTATATTATATGCAGTCTATAGTGAGGGCCCCATTGAAAATGAGATATAGTGTTACACTCGAAGTGAAATCTAATCTGGTTTGATGGTGTTCATTGGCTGTTGTGGCAACAGTAGAGCACCTATCTTTCCTAGAAACACGGTTTTCAAAGACGTTTAGTTTAGAACTTGGTTGCGTTCAAGCGATATTTCGTCGGTCGTAAAAATAAATGTGTTTTAAAACGCAAACATGAAACGCTGAAAAAGATGCGTTTTGTATCGTGATTCTGCAGAATCACAGTCGCTAAAAATTGCTCGAAGGAACGGAGGTCTCATTATCGTCATTATCGCGGTCTGTACGGGTTTTTAACAGCGTTTTGATTTGTGATTCATGTTTGTGATTCTAGCTTCAAAAAAATCGCTTGAACGCACCCTCTAGCTCTTCAGTGCTGTGAATTCTCTCAAGGAAGTTCTATGAAAGCTTAATTCACCTTGGTGAAAAAACATTTTGTTCATGGACAATAGAAAAAACGCCTGCATCAATTTTATTTCCTACATAAAATCAAGTGGGGAAAAATTAAAACTGTAGAGAATTTGATATTGCAGATTTTTTTTTCTTACATCGCCATTACTATTTAGGCATAATATTATCATGTTTGCCTTCTTTTTTTATGTTGCCTCTCAGGGGTGTAGGTTTAGTTTCATGGTACACATTGTTAACCGATAATTAACAGCCGATGGTGCGGAAGCCACAGATAGCATTGCATAATGTCATCTTTTCAGATTTAATGACTTTTCTTTTGTTCATTTGATGGATCGTAATTATTGATACATGTTACATGTATATAATAGAAATTTTAAGTCCTTGATATTTGATCAATTGGTTTTCCAATAGGTTGGCAAGTACATTGCGGAGTTCTGAACATAAATGGATATCAAATGTGTCTTTTTTCCTGCAATATGTACCGTACATTGCTCCTAGATATGATCACTCTGGTCAGTACAACCTACGTAGGTACGGGACAAAATCATCATCATCTAGTGCCGTCCCTTCGCAAGGGGTTGGTGGCTATCCACCTCCATCGCTTTCTGTCATGTACCCTTGTTCTAACCTCTCCGTAGTTAAGACCAGTCTATTTCTTGACATCATCAAACCAAGTGATTCGCTGTCTACCCCTTTCTCGTTTACCCTCTACCATTCCTTCCAACAAGATCTTGTGCAATCCTCCCCCTCACATCACATGACCAACATAATAGCATGGTCTTATTTGCTCATAAATATCTTTATTTATTTCTCTTGTGAAATTTCAGATTGAAAAGCCTCAGACACGAGGCCTTTCATACAACACCGTAGACCAATGGGAGATCCCTAGGAGCTCGTTACAGCTGAAGAGTCTTCGAGGGACAGGACAGTTTGGTGAAGTCTGGGAAGGTCTATGGAATAACACAACACCAGTTGCAATCAAGACGCTAAAGAATGGTAAGTGGTCATTGCATGTACACGCTGTAGAATCCATGATATCCGAGGACTCGACCCTAACAAGCAGTCAGGTTGCTCAGGCTCCCAAAATCTAAGTCCAGGGACCTGTTTCACAAAGCCTTTCTTCAATGACAAATGACAAAAGCCAGTAACAAATCTGTTGATAACCAATCAGAAGCAAGGATTTCAGTAGCTTATAACAAAAAATGTCATTTGTCACTGATGACAAGTTCTGTGAAACGCAACCCTGATCCCTCAAATTCCACATTTTAAATTGTACTGATCTCCTTAAAGATTTTGCTCTGTAAGTTAACGATTTCTTTCACAAAATTCGAAATATGAGCTTCGGATATTAATTTTATGAAGAGATACTGGAAGTTTAAACACACTCTCGGTATTAAACAGTAAAGCAGTGTAAGAGTAGCCTAGTCAAGCCACCGGTATGTGCTTGCGTGGAAAACATCACATTAGCACATAATATGGAAGATCCCTAGGAGCTTATTACAGTTAAAGAGACTCAGAGGGACAATTTAGTTTGATGAAGTCTGGAATGGTCTGTGGAACAATACAACACCAGTTACAATCAAAACATTAAAGAATGGAAAGTTTTAACTCTTCACTGGCTTTGCTCGACTAGTGGACACAAGCAATGGACTGCCATATGGTGGACTAAATTGTTACATGTACATGTACAGTTTATGTGTAGCATATACATAATCTGTACAAATATGATGGCACTCCATCTAGGGTTTCCATCCATATCACAGAAAGAGTTAAAGGTAAAGGCCAGTTATGGTCATGCGATCGCATTGTGAAAGAAACGTTGTGGAATCGATCAGAAAAGGTTGATCATCTAGCATCTAGCATCTGCAAGGTTCTGGAATCATCAAAATGATAAGAAATTTGGCCCATTCTTCGTAAAGTTACAAGCACTATACACAGAAAGATGTATATGGGACTACCCTATATCTCTCACAGACCATGAGAGAAACAAATTTACCAAATATATGAATTAGTAGGCGGTTTCCCGGCAAATTTTTTATCATCATGTATTAGTCAAAACATATTCTTTCACATGATTGGTAATATTAGAGCTTCCATTTCATATTTTAAGAGTGGCGCATTTCCAAAACTGGTCTTTACCTTTAAACAGAGAATGATATTCTATAGCTTCTAACAAGGAGTAAGGACACCCGGGTGCCAATAATCCAAAGTCCAGATCCCACAAATTTCACATGTTTAAAATTGATTTAGATCTTGAAAATTTAAGTCTGGTCCCCCCCCCCCCCCCCCTTTTTTTCAATGCTAATTCAACCAGCTGGGTAACTTAGGGATATTTTAGTGGCATATCATACAGAACTGAGGATTCATATTCATTTCTTGCAAGCCAGAAGGGTATTACCTCATTATATACCTACCCCCCTCCCCCTTTCTGGCATAGGAGATGATATACATGTGAAATAAACTTCATTTTATCATCTCTCTTTGCCCTCCCCAAGGCAGAAATGATGGTTATACCCAATTATTATCCATCTAGACAATACCCAAAGCCGCTACATTGGAAAGCTCAGCTCATTTTAGCGATGAATCCCTAGCATTCTATTGGTGACGGATTGATGCTCCAGAAATCCTATCCTCACCATCTCCCTCGGGGAGGTAAAATGATAACTCTGTTTTCCATTCCTCGAGCCTTTTATCATTAAGGAATTATGGCTAGAATTCATAATACTCCATCCTTTTCCTTCCCCGATATCCTATCTAAGTTTGTAATCTGGTATTTCCCTTGTATGATTGTTCATGCAGATTGTGTCGATAAAGGCGTGACACATACATGTACATATACATGTGCCTCTTTGAGGAAAATCATATCTGTTTTGATATTTTGATATTTGAAGCTACAAGAATTGCCCAATAATAGAGTAATGCAGTTACGAAAAGATTAAAATAATTATGTTATAATGATAATAATATTTTGATAATAACAATGATAAAAATGATAGTAATAGAAATAATAATAATAATGATAATATAGTAATGATAATATAACACACAAAAACATTGGAGTGATATTGAGGAAATAAATCTTAATGATTATATCACAAATTATGATTCTATTTTTATCTCAAAATCTCAGGAATGTATTCATGGAATGTGCATTCCATGTACCGAACCAGGAAGTTTTTCTGAAATACGAATCATAAAAGTTCATTGCTCAACAATTCACAAAAAGGTGTATTCATTCCAGGGAACCAAAGCCTGACCATATTTGGGCAAAAATTGTGGTGAAGATGTCATCATAGGACAATAAATAGGAATTAATTCAAGCATTTAATGTGTTAGAGCTCAAAACCATAAAGTTATGATTTATAGGAAACCATCACGCTGTCACAAAATTTGACCAAGACAGATTAGTTGGTACAGTGTTCTCTGTAACAATGCCTTACAACAATTTTGGATACTTATTGTAAGAATTCGCTTCTGTGAAAAATACCCAAGAAAAGAAAACAATTGCTGATTATACTTTATGATCAGTGCATGTAATGGGGTCAAATACTATTGATTTGGTTAATTTGGAGAAAGAAAGAAAATATGAAGAAAAAAAAAATTGGCCCTGACCGGATCAGGTCGAGGCAAGCTCTTTGTTCGTCTATTTTCAGCCTATCTGTATATACATTGTACATGTAGTAGTAAAGGATACAATTATTTAACCAAAATAAAAATTGAATAATCACTCCTGATTTTTGTTGTATTGTATAACTAATTAACATTAGGTAGGGTACATGTACGTGTACAGTAGTGAAGAAGGTAGGGTACGTACATTAAAGATAAAGGTGAGTTCTGGTCATCTGATTGCATTGTGGAAGAAAAGGTGTGGAATGGATCAGAAAGAGTTGATCATGTAGTATGTACATGTAAGTATTGGTGTGTACTGCAAAGTTCTGGAGTCATCAAAAATTGAAAATCATAAATTAATTTGGCCAATTCTTGGTAAAGTAACAAGTACTGTAGACAGAAAGATGTATGGGACTAGACAAATGGTGTTGGGGCTAGTAACCTTGATTTCCTAATCTTTCTATGCTCATTACTCAGCCAGTATAAATTTTCTACCAAAATTGTTTGGCAAATGACATTTATTTGTAATCTTGAATATTCAGTGAGTTTTGTTTGGTTCTGTGAGAATTCTTTTTTTTTTACCAGAACTCATCTTTATCTTTAGATTAGTTCACTTGATTTTATTAGAGGACGATCCATCATAGATGTTTGTGATGATTTTTTTGTGCCAAACATTGACACAATTTTAAAAAGCAGGCACTTGGCCAAGCTAGTCCCAAGAGCACTGAATTACTTCACATCCTTTTACGTAGGTGTTTTGTTACCCACCACACTTGCACAAACATTCTTATTTTTGATGTCCCCCGTCGTCGTCGTCGAGAGAGGAGGTTGCTGCTACATTGTAATGCTGTGTTATTAGATGCAAGTTAACGCCCTTCTGGCTCTCAGTGCATGATGTATTGCTTTGAAAAATAAGATTACATTTAAAAATGTCAGGCATCAGATTAGATGCTCTATTTTTATCTCGACAATACTTTAGGCACCAAGAGAAGACATACCTCTAACACGATCACAAAGATTTTCAAGAAAAACCTCCTCAAGGACGACATCAATACCCTTTTGTAATGCCTGAAATTGTGTTTTGATTGCATGTGTACTCTTCACTGTATACTAAAATGTCATCATTGTCAAGTTCACACATTTCAATGGGTGATGTACAGTTAAGGCTATTGAGATTGCCATAGGTTGATTTCCTGAAAGTTTTTGTGATCGTATTCTCTGTAATATGGGGGAATGCTCATGAACTTTAAAGAGAAGGTTGAGTTCTGGGAAGAGGTAAAAAATAATTTGTGAGTGTTAACATTGTTATTATGCAAGGGTGGAAGAACATCAGATTAAACATGTTCCCTGAAAAGCATGGCTCCACTTACTTTACCAAGACTGGGCCAAATTTATTATGATTTTGATGACTCCAGAACCTTGCAGTACACACCAATACTAACATGCTACATGATCAACTTTTTCTGATCCATTCCACACCTTTTCTTTCACAATGCAATCGCATGACCAGAACTCAACTTTATCTTTAAGGCTATCTAACCTACATGTATTTTCAAAAATACATTCTCAAATTAACCTATCCTGTCAGCCTCTATAATGGTGCCAATTTTCCTATGTGTGCATGTGCATGTAAACATGGCCAGGTTAACCAATTTGCTCTTTTGTGTTTGCGAAAGGTTAAAAACTAAGGGGAACATTGTTTGCAAGAAGAACCATCCATCAATGTCTCCTAAAGAATGTTGCAAAGAGATCTAGGAAGGTTGAATATTCCAGCTCAGTGCAGATAGTTTATCGTACCGGTATATTCAGCGGCAAAGTAAATTTGATATTGTCATAGTAGAAATGCACATGGACACATAAAAATATAATATAAACAAATTAACACGGACAGCTACAAATGAAGCTCATGCACACATACATGTAATAATACAACAACCAGTTTGCATAAATGCTGAAATAAGAAAAAATGAAGTGCCAATAGATTTGAAGAGTTTAGGAATCACACCAACATTGAAATGAATACTGCCATATCTTTGTTTGTTGTAGATATGATGATGATGAAGTGTAGATGTAGAGTGGTGCCACTCAGTTCAGAAATGAAATATGATTGAGAGTAATAATAAGACATAAGCGAGCGATCGAGAGCCCAGATTGTTGATTTGGTCACCCCTCCAGCCAAGCTAAGGTTTCTAGTCTTGTATTTCAGTAGTAAGTTGATCGTCTCGTAGTACCGAGTGAATATCAAATGAATATTGGATGATGATTGAGAATGATGATGATGATTCATCTTTTTTAAGGTATTGTTTGACTTTTGAAAACATGTGCTGACAAATCTTTCAAAACAAATTAGAAGACAAGGTTACAAATGTATGGGTGTTGACAATAAT